GGGATTTGAGGGACAAGGACTCTTACCGCCATGGGAATGGGAAACGAAGCAGTGACAGGTCTGAGAGGCATGACCGGGATGGTGGTGGAAGGAGGAGACATGGGAGTCCAAAACGGAGCAGAAGCCCAGTTGCAAGAGAAGGAAGCGAGGAAAGGAGGGCAAGAATTGAGCAATGGAACCGCGAACGGGATGAGGGAGTTTAAGGTTTTTTCTCTTCATGATGGGAACAGCTTGGGCTGATTGCCTCAGAAACCGATAAAATCTCGTAATGGATATTCATTTGGTGTTCTGTTTTGGAATTTGAACAATATGAAAGGCTCATGACCTCCTTAGATGATATAATGTTGGTTACTATTTCTTGTAGAAACTAGTTCATGTCGGAAATTCTGGGTTTAGTTTTTTTATTAATGAATGTGCTATTGTTTGAACCCATTGTCTTGTTCGGTGGGAATGTTTTAGAATTCGGTTAGAAATCCGTTTTAGAAAATGGATAAATGGGTAGTTTCATCTATTTTGATGCCCACTTCTAACGTGCGATTCATATGTTTTGGATAAATTATAGCTATAGACTGGATTTGTTGCATCTTAAAATCGAAATGTAAGGAAAAAACACACTTAATCTAAAACAATCTTTGTGAAAGGGATCAGTATATTACTTTGGTAATAAACCCCAACAATTCATGTAAGTGTTTCGTGGAAACCTCAAAAGCAATACAAATACAACAAATTTTCAAGTTTGAGAAACGAATACTCCCCTCTTTTGAGCTTTCGTATTCACGTTTTACAACAACAACAAAAGAAATATCTAGAGGTAGTAGTGGTGTTGAGACGATCCATGGCTTCGCGTACCACGCGACTTAGCTATCTTCAGAAGGTTTTGAGGTTTTGGATCGCCGAGTTGTTCTTCTCTGTTTTTAACCTTATGCTTCTGAGTGTAGAATCTAATTATCCTCTGATCCAGTTTGTAGTATGCCTCCATTCTCTTTAGTGGTTTCAGGCTTAGATCAATGAAGTGTACCTACATTTCCAAATCCAAATACCAAATAAATGTGAAAAGAAAACAAATCTTATGGTTCCTGGAAACCCAACTGCTATCTAATAAATCCCTTTTCTCATCAGCACTATTGATCTTAGCAGATTTTTCTGATGTCTTTCACCATTAAAAAGAGACCAAAAGACAAGAATGGATCATACCTTGTAATCAAACGTTTGATTGGTCGATTTTAGACACACTTCATCACACGAAGGTGCTCCATTGCAGTCTTTTCTTGATTGAAAACTGATCATAAGGCTACAGTCCTTGGCCGTTGCAGCTATCATATAGTCCTTGACGATCTTCAAGCTTTCATCTAACGGTAAAGTATGTAGCGACGAGTACTCCTCCAATGGCCCACCTTCTTTGCATATAGGGCAAGGCTGGTTGATAACATCGTAATAACAATGAATTGCTCCTTCAACGTCTAATTTGTCTAGCTTCTGAACTTCCAGAAGCCTATCGAGCACTCCCGACTCATAGACAGCATCAGATACTAGCTGCAGAAAGCAATTTGTCCTATGACCATCATCTGATTGAATGAAGCCTCTAAGTGCATCCTCAAAGGCATATCCAATTTTGGGGCTGGTTCTCCCAGTGCTTTCACCTGAACCGCCTAATATGAGAGAACCATTCAAAAATACGCGGAAATTGTTCTGTGGAGTAGAATATAAGGCTTTTATAGCTTGTGAAACTCTCTCTTTGGATCCAGAGAACAGATCAAGAGGATCATATTCGCTTACTTCAGATATCTGCAGAATAGTGACATACATGTCAAACTTTTCAGCAAATCTCAATGTATTTGAGTGAAGATATTCAACAAAAGAAGTTCCATTACGATTCTAAGCTACAGGTGCTTTGCTCTTACCTCGTTATATTCCAATTTCAAGATCTGGTGCATTCTGAAGCGGCTTACGCTTCTTTTGAGCATGTTTTCTTCACTTATGAACCTTGAGGTTGGAAGAAATCCGCATTTGGGCTACTTTAAAGACATCAAGTTAAGGTCAAGGATGATACTGTCACGAAAACATAAAACGAAAATAGAGGATTCATCAAAGAAGAAAATACCTTTATTTCAACACTAATGCAGTCGCCACCGCTAGAAATCGCTGGAACATATGAAAAATTAGAAGACTAAAAACACTAGATAGTTATGACTAATGTCCAATCATATATAAACTCAACACAAGTATGATTCTTTTCAGATATTTCGACTTGCCATGGTAATGATTACCTTGAGAGAAAAGTGAATGATCATTCAAAATAAGAGCAGAATCATGACTAGTATCAACATTAGCTGCATTAACACGCCACGGCGGACGCTGCTTAGTTACTTTCTTATCAACAGATTCAAGAAATTCCTTGGACACAGAAACACGAACCTACAGAATAAAAAGAAAACATCATCAGCTTACCATTAGCATCCGAACTAAACCGAAAAATCATCATTATGCATTTGAAGGAGTACAAAGACCATATACAATAATAATCAAACTCACTCCTGCATCAACATGTTTAGGACCCAAGAGAGGAATGATAACATGCTTAACATATCTTTGTTCAAGAACTTCATTGTTTGGAGATGAAATAAGCTCCTTGTTTTCCTTCCACAAAAGTTGCTCATCGCTTGTTAAAACGGAAAAAACACCATTCGCATTACTCTTTGCTTTATCATTCTTCCTAGCTTTCTGTATACGAATCACTTTCCCCACCTTTTTGAAAACAAAACAAGGAATTGTCAAATCCTCTGAAAGTTTTTGTCTTTCTTCAACATTGTTCTTAATAAAAAGTAGAGAGATTGAAATCAAAGAGACTGGTCCACAACAATCTAAAACCAATAGTGAAATATAAGAGAATCTGAACTTATACTACAAAAGGATCACACTTTGCGTATTATACAGGATTGAAAAAGGTTTAAGGATTTGAAAGAACTAACAAAAAGCGAAGATGATGATGATGATCCAGAGTAAGCAAGTACGAGATTAGCACCTCCTTCACCTCTGTAAACCCAATCGCATGCGTCCTTACCTTCCAGAATCATCATCTCCATGGGTCCTTACAAAATTCTCCGATTTTTCAAAGCGAATCAGTACCCAAAAAAAAAGAAAGAGATCGATGAAATCGAGGGAACGAAAATTCTGCTTACGCAAATGCAAAGGAATCAGATTGCGTTTGGAATCTCGAGGAGTATAAAAAGTGAAATGATTAGTAGTT